AAAATCTCACAACGGCAAATCATTTTTCACCCATTCTCATCTATAAATAGAATTCATCCCTCACTCTATTCTTCAAGCTTTTCAAGCCAAAAAATCTCTGCTGATTTTCTTCCTCAATTCCTCACTACCAGAAAAACCTTCGTTCATTCTCTTCTCATACTTCATTCCACCAAATTAACTTCAAATCAACCTCAAACACAGATCAATTTCGAACCAGAATTCGTTCAGAAGAAGAAGAGAAGCAAGAAGAAGCTTGGATTGATTTCTTACCTGAGTTTGAAGGTAGATTGAGCTTCACCGTCATTTTCGATCCGTTACCTTTTGTTGTGATTCTTTAAATTGTTGGTACCATTGTGAAGAGCTCTTGATTTCGATTGCAACCGCGTATTTTTCGCGTCCCGCCGTTGTGATTTAAGCTAGCATCCATGGCCGTGAATGTTTTCGCATGTGAGAGCTAGAAGAAGAAGATAACTCTGTTTCGTTTTCTCTTTCTGCTTTTCAATATTACTTTTCTTTTATTTGTTTATTTTTATTTTCTTTTTTCATTTCTTTCAGAACTTAACTATGTGGATTTTTCCACATTTTTTTTCTTTTATTATTAAATTTGTATTTTAATTTCATTTTCTGAAAAAGCTTTTAAAAAATTATTTAAAAATATTTTGATTAAGTGTTGATTGTTTTGGATCTTGATTTTGATAAGATTTCATCAATATCAATGGACTTTGGGTGTTGATTTTATCCACCAAGAGAGGTGATTGATATTGACGATAATTTAATCGATTCGAGATTCAAATTGTGATTTCATTTTCTTTCTTCTTCTTTTTATTTTTGATCGATGAAATCTATGGATCATAGATTGTTGATTATCAAGGTTGATTAATCTTCATTATTTCAAAACTATGGACGAATAATCATTGAGATAATTCTCCTTACTTTGGAATAGTGATAGATTACCTTTGATTAATTGATGAAAAATCTTGATTATGATGAGATCACCACCTCTTTTCTTTTTGTGTGGCATGTTTTAGGAGAGTGATTTATATATCATTTCTCTAACATGTATTAACACTAACATTTTATTGACCGGCCTCAGATAGTCGTGGTTTCTACATAAACCCGATTACGATTGCTTAACATAGCGCTAAATTGTCCCTTAATCAGAAAATGATCATTCGTGGCTCAAACTTACGTTTAAAAGTCCAAGTATGTTTAGTTGCTTGTCTTAACTCCAATACCTATGAAAATCATTGTTAGGAGGCTTTGATTCTATCAATCCTCTAATGAATTTTCATTAATCTTGGTCTAAGTGCAAGAATTAATCATCATTGATCATATGTTCTAACCACTAACCACTAATTCACTAACAATATCCTTGTTTAATTTTGTTTATATTCTCTTCTTACTCTTTATTTTTTTTACTTTTATGCTTCCATTTTATCATTACATACCATATCTTTGTTTATGTTTATGTCATTTTTCTTTTGTCCACTTGGACCATACTTTGTTCAAAACATTAATAAAGGATAAAACATCTAAAAAATTTGGTGCTATTAATTTTGTGGTTATACTCTTGGACCATTCTTAGACCTTGGACTTCATGGACATTTTGGACTTAGGATTAGGACTTTCTTCCCTATGCTTGGAGAATTTTGAATCTTAGCCTTTATTTGGCTAGATCACTGGCTTATACTTTAAATCGGATGGAATTCTTTTTGCTTGCTTTGGAGTGTGCTACAAGTCGGTTAGATCTTTCTTACCTCTAGCTCTTATTTTGTTTTTTAGGATAGTCACTTCATCTCCTCCCCTTCTTAAATTTTCAAAACTTTCTCCCTTTTTCAAAACCTTCTTGGTTTCAAACTTCCAAACCGCTTTCGCAATAAAACCTTGACTTTTGTCAAGTGATTTTTAAACTTTGTTTTTCTTAATAAAAGTCAATCAATGTTAATCATGCTTTGACCAATTTCAAAAGACATAAAAAATACAAAAACTCATCAACTCTTTTTGTGCCTTTATGCACTTTTCACTTTAAAACTTTTCATAAAGTTTAGACATGATTCATTTCTATAGTTGAGATGTAAATCTCCTATTCCCCATATTATTAAGACTTTGACATTTTCCACGTTGATGTTGAGTGATAGTCTTGTTGATAATCCAAGTAAATCCTCCATCTTTATGTGACGCAAATGTTGTCTTAATACTCGTGGGTGGATAGTCGCAGTTTCCTCCTTGAAATGACGACTTGTTTGAACATCTAAAATCAATCAAAACCAACAAAATTTTGTCATTTGTACCACGAACTACGGGGTTTTGATTCCATATTGCACTTTATGGGTACGTAGGCATGAGACGATAAGTCTCTCCAAACACAAAAATCTAAAAAATATTCTCTTCTCATCTCCCCAATCTCTTTTCAAACAAACCACTTTCAAACCAAAAAGCGTAAATATTTCAAAGGGCTCCTATAGAATACTATAGACGTTTTGGGTGCTAACACCTTCCCATTGCGTAACCAACCCCCTTACCCCGATCTCTGCCTCGTGTTCTTATTTTAGAACTCTTTGGTTTTGTTCGCTCTTTTTCCTTTCCTTTATTTGGATAAAATAAAAGTGCGGTGGTGACTCTTGTTTTCTTTGAGTTAAGTTAGTCAATAACTTACACTCACAATTTTTACCGCTACATTTTGTAATCAAGGAAAACGCAAACCTAGTCAAATCGAAGTTTCCCGTCAAATTCGGGGCGGGTTCGGGTGAAAACTCACAGGTACGAGTTGTGTTGTTATGCCTATTTAGCACTTTGGCAAGGAATTTGAGACAAAAGAGAGAAAGTTAGAGCAGTAATACTTTTCTGGTATTGTGCTAACACACGTTCATTAAAGTATAGCTGTCAAAATGGGTTATTCCATATGGATCGGTCTACCAAATCTGAAAAAATGGTTTAGTTCATATGAACCGGCCTACCATATCTATTAGATATGTACTGTATTTAAAAATATATTATAATATTTATAAAAGAGAATATGGTACTGAAAAATGTATTTTAAATTTCAAATGATAAAAAGTTTGATTTGGTTCTTAATAAATATTATAAGGCTTTTATTTTAATTTTTTCTTTAAAAAAACCGTTTAAGATTAGGTATTTTGAAGTTTGAATTTAACGGATCTACCGGTGTTTGGAAGTTGTTTCACTTGGTTCAACTCTAATGGTAAGAGCAGAAGTAGACTGGACAGAATTTTGGTTGATGACAGGGTTATCTCAATGTTTTCTCTGAAGAATCAAGTGGTGGGGGATAGAGACATATCAGATCATCGAACGGTGTGGTTGAAGTCCAATTTCGTCAATTGGGGACCAAAACCTTTTAGGACATTCAACTGTTGGTTCTATCACAAGGATTTCATCCCTTTCGTTACGAAATCGTGGAGCTCGTATCAATTCACAGCTTCTTTTTGCAGCATCCTTACTAAGAAATTTCTAGCTCTTAAATCTAACCTCAGGATTTGGAATCTCAAAGTGTTTGGTTGGATGGAGCTAAACATTGAGGATAATATTGATAAGTTTAACAAGATGGAGTTGGAATCAATTGAGGACTCAAACCCGCAAGCTGCTGATTTGGACAGAGAGAAACTGCGGCACCAGGAGGAAATGTGGAAGAATATGAGGATCAAAGAAAGCATGCTAGCTCAAAAATCCCGGGTTAGTTGGCTTCAAAATGGGGATCTTAATACCAATTTTTTTCATGACTCCCTAAAATATAGGAATCGGTCAAATCGTCTTTCAACTGTTAGAGTGGGAGGCAGGATTGTGGAAGACCCTGAGGATATTAAGTTTGAAGCGGTGAAATTCTTTAAGGGTAAATATACGCAATAAAATTCGGCTAGTTCATAAGTGATTTCGCTTTGGCTGCTTGTCTTGATGAGGAGGACAAATTGTTATTGGAAGCAGATTTTAGTCCTACTGATGTGAGAAAGGTTGTCTTCAGTTGTGACGGTAACAAGTTCCCCGGTGTCGATGGATTTAATTTTAAATTCATAAAATCTTGCTGGGATATAGTTGGTCAGGACTTCTCGAATTGCATCCTGGATTTCTTCAAGACAGGAGTTCTCCCTAAGATGTTTGCGTCCTCTTTCATTTCGTTGGTGCCGAAGATTTTCAACCCTCAACAGTTTGAAGATTTCAGGCCAACTACTCTGATTAGCTGTATCACCAAGGTTATCTCCAAGATGCTTGCTTGAAGATTGAGCAAGGTTATTCACTAACATATTTCTCCTTCTCAAACAGCTTTCATTCCGGGTCGGCAAATTTACGATGGAGTTCTGCTGGCCAACGAAATAGCAGACTATGCTAAGAGATTTAAAAAGGAATGTCTGTTTTTCAAAGTCGACTTCGCTAAAGCCTACGACTATGTCGACTGGTTTTACCTTGATGAAATGCTTGTCAAGATGGGTTTTGGTCCTAGTTGGTTAAATTGGACTCGAGGATCTGTGTTCAGTAGTTATGTTTCGATTCTTATTAACGGAAGTCCTTTGAAGGATTTTAAGGTTGGAAGGGGGCTGAAGCAGGGGGACCCTTTGACTCCGTTTCTGTTTGCCATAGTAGTAGAGGGTCTGTCTTGTTTAGTCAGAGCAGCGACTGCTGGTAACTTGTTAAAAAAATTCAAGATCAATGATCAAGCTTCTGCGAGCATGCTTTAGTTTGCCGACGACACTCTGCTTATAGAAGATGGATCAGTTATGAATATTTGGGCTTTCAAGGTTGTCCTGCGCGCGTTTGATTTGATTTTTGGACTGAAAATTAATTTCTCAAAAAGAAGTCTTTATGGGATAGGAGTAGACCCTGCGTTTCTTGTTGCAGCTGAAGAATTTCTGCATTGTAAATCTGGCAGGCTGCCGTTCAATTTCCTTGGTCTTCTGGTAGGAGGAAATCATCGTCGGCACTCTTTCTAGAACCCGGTTCTGTCTCGTATGAGGAGTAAGCTATCAAATTGGGCTGGGAGAAATTTGTCAATGGGAGGTAGAGTATCCCTCATTAACTCAGTTTTAGCTAACTTGCCTATTCACTACTTGGCTTTTTTCAAGGCTCCCAAGAAAATCGTGAATGATATTATCGCAATCCAACGGCGTTTTCTCTGGGCTGGGAATTCTAGTAAAAAGTTCATCCCTTGGATATCTTGGAACTCCATCTGCAAGCCGAAGGAACACGGAGGTCTTGGCATTAAACATGTAGGTCATTTTAATTGTGCTCTTATAGCAAAATGGATGTGGAGATTTCAAAGCGGCGGAAATGAAATTTGGAGAAAGACGCTCAATCTCAGATACGGTAACTTGAGCATGAAGGTGCAAACTTTCGCCGACGTCGGTAGCTCGAAATTCGACTCTCTTTGGATGAAGGATATTCTTTCAAGTTCAATCTACGACTTCCATGTGGACTTCTGCAAGTTTACGGCTTGCACTATTGGAGAAGGTCATGGCACAACGTTTTGGCTGTCAAATTGGATTGGAGACTTGCCGCTTAAAAGTAGGTTTCAGCGGCTGTTTCAAGACTGTTCCAGGAAAGTTTCGACCGTCAATGAGATGGGAACCTGGGAGGATGTTCAGTGGGTTTGGAAAATTAGAGAAACATTGATAGATGCAGGATCCAATATTAAACCAGAATGGACCGATTGTAGTAATTTGTTGGATCAGGTTGCAGCCAACAACAATGTCGCCGATAATTGGAAATGGCTTCTTCATGATTTACTTTCGCATAAGGTAAGCTCTTTCTATACTGCTTTAACCTCTTTTTATTCTGTTCATAATATTGGTAGTGATAGCGCAACACTTCTGGAGATCCTTTGGAAAACGGTGTTACCGGTAAAAGTCCAAACTTTTATTTGGAGGATGGCGCTTGATAGGCTGCCTACCAAATCTAATTTGATGAAAAGAAGGGTGATTGATTATTCCCAAAATTTGGATTGTGCGTTCTGTTCGTGAAGCTACGAGGACGTTTCACATCTCTTCTTCTCGTGTACTAAAACATCGTTGGTTTGGAATAGGATTTGCGACTGGGTGGATATAGAGAACATCTCGGAGGATTATTGTAGTCTTCATGCGAAGGTCTAGAAATCGAGACTTTTGGGCCGGTGTAAAGAGGGAAAGATCAATTCAATTTGGTTTATTTCTTGCTGGATTATATGGAGGGATAGAAATAACATTATTTTCAGTAATGAAACCATTGATGTTGATGACATTGTTATCAATATTAAAGTTTTCTCATAGAATTGGTTGATATTAGGTAGACAGGAAAATAATCATTGTAGCTTGTATGAATGGTTTAAACTCCCGTTTGATTTTATGTAATAATCCTGTATTATGATGTGTTTGTATTTAGTTGTTTTGAGATTTTCTTAATCTCTTTAATATAATATTTGCTTATAAAAAAAAGGAAAAAAGAATAAGATATACCAAATCAAGGACAAAATAAGAATAAAATGAAAAACGTAAATAAAATAGTAGAATTAAAAAACTACTTAAAAATTATATTTATAAAGGGTATAAATTTGTCACAAATATATTATATTTTCGTCAAAAATCAATTTATAACAAATTTTGTGATTACCTAAAATTCTTAATAATGTTGCAAAATATCACAAATTGCGTCTGATTATAATGTTACGAAATAATATTTCTGTAGTTAATTTTGAAAAAACTAAACCCTCTTTTCTCAAAAATCCCTCGGTTACTATTGACGAATTTAAATTCCCTCATTAAATAATGACATATTTCAAATTTAATTATTTTATCCTTAATACATTAATATTTATATTTTTGATAGATACTTAAATTAACTTAAATAAAACAACTATTTATATAATAAAATATTTCACTATAACTTGTGATACAAATTTAAGATACAATTATTTCAAAAAATATTCAAATAGTGAGGGATTTGGGTCGACTAAACTAAGGTGTGAAATAATTTTTTTTTGTGTATAATATTTTTTCTTACTTTCTTTTGATAAGCAAATATTATTAAAAGAGATTAAGAGAATCTCAAGACAACAATACAACAACCACTTCCAGATTTTGGGTTATTATAAAAAATGAAACGGAAATTTAAACCACTCGTACATGCTACAATTCTTACTATCCTTCCTATCTAGAATCAACCAATTCCACGATGATATTTTAATATCGAAAACAATGTCGTCTACATCAAAAGTTTCATGATTGAAAGTAATATTATTTCTGGCCCACCATAAAATCCAGCACGAAAAAAACCAAATTGAGTTGATCTTATTCTCTTTGCACCGGCCCGAAGTTCTCGAATTCCAAGTCTCCGCATGAAGATAACAATTATCCTCCGATATGAACCCAATATCAACCCATTCGCAAATCTTATTCCAAACCATCAAGGATTTAGAGCACGAGAAAAATAGATGAGATATGTCCTCGAGACTAGACGAACAGAAAGCACAATCTAAAAGTTGAGTATCAACAATCACCCTTCTTTTCATCAAGTTAGATTTAGTAGGCAGTCTATCTAACGCCATCCTCCAAATAAAAGTTTGAATTTTTGCCGGTAGTACCGTTTTCCAAAGGTTCTCCAGAACAATTACGCTATCACTTTGAAGCTCAAGCTCAAATGCGGAAGAATTTAAAGCGGAATAGAAAGAACTAACCTTGTACGAATGAGACTCATCAAGAATCCATTTCCAATTATCAGCGACATCTATTTTTGCTGCAGTCTGATCCAATAGCAACTTACATTCAGTCCACTCTGGTTCATGAATAGAATCCATATCTATCAACAATTCACTCAAATTCCAAATTCATTGACCGTCTTCCCAAGCTCACATCTCACTAACACTCGTGACTTTACGGGAACAGCCCTGAAATAGACGCGAAAATCTACTTTTAAGCGGTATCTCTCCGATCCAAATGGACTGCCAGAAAGTTGTATCACTACCATCACCAATCTTGCAAGCCATGAACTGATAAAATTCCTCATGGGAACCGTTGCTAGAGCTAGAGATAGTATCCTTCATCCAATTTGAGTCACATTTTGAACTACCGGTATCGACATAAGTCTGCACCTTCAAACTCAAGTTACCATATCTGAGATTTAACGTCGATCTCCAAATGTTATTACCGCCGTTTTGAAATCTCCACAACCATTTTGCTATAAGGGCTTAATTAAAATGACCAACATGTTTAATACCAAGGCCTCCGTGCTCCTTAAATTTGTAGATAGCATTCCAAGAAACCCAAGAGATGAATTTATTATTGGAATTCCTAGCCCAGAGAAAACGCCGTTGGATAGCAATAATATCTTTCACAATTTTCTTGGGAGCCTTGAAAAAAGCCAAGAAATGAATAGGCATGTTAACTAAAACCGAGTTTATGAGGGAAACTCTACCTCCCATCGACAAATTTCTCCCAGCCCAATTAGAAAGTTTATTCCTCAACTGAGACAAAACCGGATTCCAGAAGGATTTCCGACGATGATTACCTCCTACCATAAGACCAAGGAAACTGAGGGGTAACCTACCAAATTTACAGTGCAGAAATTCTTTTGCTGCATCAAGGAACGCAGTTTCTATACCTATTCTGTAAAGACAGCTTTTAGAAAATTAATCTTCAGACCAGAGCTCAATTCAAACGCACGCAGGATCGCCTTGGAAATCCAAATATTAGAAAACGATCCATCTTCTATAAGCAGAGTGTCATCGGCGAATTGGAGCAGGTTCACAGTGGCTTTACCGTTGATCTTGAATTCAGATAATAAGTTACCGGTAGCCGCAGCTCTAACTAAACAGGAGAGACCTTCTGCAACTATGGCAAACAGATACGGTGCCAACAGATCACCCTGTTTCAACCCTCTTCCAACCTTAAAATCCTTCGAAGGGCTTCCGTTAATAAGGATCGAAACAAAACTATTAAAGACAGAACCTCGAATCCATTTCATCCAAATTGAACTGAAACCCATCTTGATAAGAATATCTTCAAGGTAAGACCAGTCCACACAATCATAGGCTTTAGCAAAGTCGACTTTGAAAAACAGACACTCCTTCTTAAATCTCTCAGCATTGTCTGCTAATTCGTTGGCCAACAGAACCCCATCGTAAATTTGACGCCCCGGGATGAAAGTTGTTTGGGTCGGAGAGATAAGTTTGTGTATAACCTTGTTTAATCTGAAATCTAACATCTTGGAGATAATCTTAATAACACAGCTAACCAAAGTAATAGGTCTGAAATCTTCAAACTTTTGAGGATTATTAATTTTCGGCACTAGCGATATGAACGATGACACGAACACCTTAGGGAGAACTCCTGTCTTGAAGAATTCCAGGATGCAATTTGTAAAGTCCTATCCAACAATGTCCCAACAAGATTTTATGAATTTAAAATTAAATCCATCAACACCTGGGCGCTTGTTACCGTCACAGCTAAAGACGGCCTTTTCTCACATCAGCTGGGTTGAATTCAGCTTCAAGAAGACAATTGTCCTCCTCATCAAGTCTTGTAGCCAAATCAAAATCACTTATGACTTTAAACGAATTCTGCTGCATAAATTTACCCTTAAAAAAATTCGTCGCTTCGAATTTAATTTCCTTGGGATCATCCATGTCCTGCCTCCCACTATTACCACTGAAAGACGGTTCGACAAATTCCTATATTTTAGGGAATCGTGGAAAAACTTAGTATTACGGTCTCCATTTTGCAGCCATCTGACCCTGGATTTCTGGGCCAGCATGCTCTCTTTGATCCTCAAATTTTCCCATATTTCCTCCTGATGCCGCGTCTTCCGCCTAACCAATTCTCCATCAGTTAGGTCAGCTTCCTCAGTAGATACCATCTCCAACTTATTAAACTCAGCAATGTTTTCCTCAATATTTAAATCCAGCCAACCAAAAACATTGAGATTCCAATGTCTGAGGTCTGTTTTCAGAGCTTGAAGTTTCTTGACCAAAATGTTACAGTAGGATCCTGTAGCTTTGTAAGAGTTCCACGATTTCGAAACAAAAGGGATGAAATCCTTATGATAAAACCAACAATTGAATGTCCTAAAAGGCTTTGGCCCCCAATTTACAAAATTGGACTTCAGCTACACCGGCCGGTGATCTGATATGTCTCTATCCCCCACCACTTGATTCTTCAAAGACAACAAATATATAACCCGATCATCAACCAAGATTCTGTCTAATCTACTTCTGCTCTTACCGTTTGAGTTGAACCAAGTGAAACGACTTCCGAATACCGGCAAATCCGTTACATTGAAATTTTCAATGAAATCGTTAAACTTCTTCATATCCATACAGTTGTTGCCACTAAGGCCTTGCCTTACCTCACCGTTTTGCACCGAGTTGAAATCACCCCCCACAATCCAACCAACATCAAGGTAGTTGCTTTTAATTTTAATCAGATGTCTCCACAACCTTCTCTTATCAGCTGATCCGCACGGTGCATAGACGTTGATAACAATCAAATTATGATTATTCCAAACTAAGTGCATTCCTATGAAACCTTTCCCACTGAAACTAGAAACAATTGATCTTCTAGCAAACACAAAGATGCTCCCAAAGGAGTAGCCTTAATGTTAAAATATCCTTCTTCAAAAAATAACTTCTGAATATTGAAAGCGTTTCCATCTTCCAAGACTACTCCCACTCTCATACGGTTCAACCTCCTACTCCACTCATCATCCACCTCTAAGGTAAGGCAATGATCACTTTCTTTAGACTTTTCAACTATTTTATGGAAATTTCCACTTACTACTCTGGCAAAAGATCTATCCTGATTTACAGGTTTCTTTGAAAAACCAAAATGGACAAGATTAGAATTCCTCCTCAACTCTTCACAACCTGGGATTGGCCTCTTGTTCTCTTTACTGAACCTGGGGATATTAACAAAAATCTTCTTGCCTTTCAATACAATGCTGTCAAGATTGCAAGCTAAAATTCGAGGATCGTGGACTTTCCGGAATTTAACAAAACCGAACCTTTTGCCTCGTTTATCTCTCTTAGCTGAGATGAAAACCTCGTTTATCTTTCTTACTTTTAATTGAACGATGTTAAAAAGATCTTAATTTTAACTAACTCTTTAATCATAAATATTTGTCCATATATGCTTTTTATATTAATTAAAATCAAATTTGTATATATTCGAATTCTACTTATTTTTAATTTTTAATTTTAAAGATGTAAAATATTTTAAATTTAACAAATTTATTAGTTATAATTAATAATTATCACATGTATGAATTTTATGTATTAAAGACTTTTTTTGTGTTGATTTTCTTAGTTGACAATACAAATAATGAGTTATTAGAATGAATAAAAAGTATAAGAGTTTTTAATTTAAATTAAAGACATGTGATAGAAAATCAAGTGACAATAATATTAAATTAATAGTTTGGATATTATGTAAAAATGATATAATCATTATTTTAATATATAATATTTCTATTCTATGTTCAAAGACAAATTTATCCATAAAAAATCACATGTATCAAAAAAGAAGAGATAAGTGTAAAGGTTTTTATTTATTTATTTATATTTGATTGTTATTAGTTTTCTCAAGTTTATATAGTGATCGAAGACAAAAGAGAAAAAATATAGTAATACTTTACTATGTTAACATATATCCATTAAACAATTTGAAAAGAAAAATGAAAATGCTGAGAAATAAAATTAAAGTTGATAAAGAATATTACATCAAAACTTAAACTTTTCATTAATATAAGATTTCATTTATACACGTGTGAAGTCACAACTAACTTGTTAATAGGATTGTTATATGTTATAACAACTAACCACATATTTATCATCCCATAATAAATATCTCATTATTGAGATTGTGACAATTTCAGAAGGTACAAGTCCACTAGAGACCAGAGTACTCACCCTATAATAAGTATCTCATTCTTGAGAATATCTGACAATTTTAGAAAAGTACATGTACACCACTAGCTTAGACACAATATCTAACTTGGAGTTCACAATATATAGTCTTTAACCTTCTGCCAAACTCATGACCAAACACTATCTATAATTATGATTTTTTAAATACTCATGGTAAAAGGTTTGTCGGCATTTTGAAAAGGTAAGTAAAAACGCTACATATAATCACGGTTTTTTAAATACCTGTGGTAAAAGATCTGTCAGCATTTTGAAAAAAATAAGTAAAAAATCAAAAATATTGGTGCTAGGCTTGAACCCAAAACCAGACACTACCTATTATCACAGTTTTTTAAATAACCGTGGTAAAAAGGCCTCACTTTTCACCATGGTTGAAATTTTAACCGTGATTAAAAGTATTTTAATAAAAAAAATGCGCACTCTTAAATATCACATATTACTACGGTGAATAGGAAATCGTTCTTACTTTGACGTTGTTGTTTACGCGTTCTGTAGTAGTGCATGTTGGTAATTTCTTAAAATGGTTGATTGATATTTAGTTATGGTGTTGTGAGTGGCGGGGATGATGATACGATGATTGTGAAATTTGTGGTGGGTGAAGGATTGGATTTGGCCAAGTGTAAAATAATAAGTTTTGGTTGGCTGGGTGATGGGATATGTTTTGTGATAAGATTACATCGGAATGTAATCTTGAAGGATGATTGAAGGGGGTTGCAAGTGATGTAATGTGATATTGTCGAATCTTCGAAAGATATGATGATACAAGGAAATGACCAGTAAAAGTTTAGCACTTGGCATGACAATGTGGCATGTTAGGGACAGTTTTTGCCTCCCTGAAATCCAAACTCAAATTCCTAAATAATCCTCGTTCCCTGCCTTGATTTTCAACAGGTATGGGGAAATAAAACCCAAATTTGTCTCAAACGGGTTCGTGTATCCCCGCTCTGCCACCATCCATTTAGTGAAATTCATTTTATTAAAATAAAATATTTCTTTTTTTCGAAATAAAATTACATTATAAATAATAAAATAAAACAATCTCAAAAAAATTCATGCATACATTTAAAATATTTTAAATAATAAATACAAATTAAAATATCAAAACATTAACATATATTTAATATTCTAAATTATCATTAATAAATAATAAAAATATATTATAAAATAAATAGGGGCGGGTTCGAAGACGGGTTCGGATGGATACAAGTGTCCCCATTATCCGACCCATTCTCATATTTTGTAATCATGAAAAACCCAAATCCAGTCAAATCGGAGTTTCCCGTCAAATTCGGGGCAGGTTCAGGTGAAAACCCACATGTGCGAGTTGTGTTGTTATGCCTATTTAGCATTTTGGCAAGGAATTGGAGACAAAAGAGAGAAAGTTAGAGTATTAATACTTTCCTAATATTGTGCTAACATATGTCCATTAGAGTATAGCTGTCAAAATGGATTAGTCTATATGGATCGGTCCACCAAATCTGAAAAAATAGTTTAGTTCATATGAACCGGCCTACCATATTAATTAGATATGTATTGTATTTAAAAATATATTATAATATTTATAAAAGAGAATATGGTACTTAAAAATGTTTTTTAAGTTTCAAATAATGAAAAGTTTGATTTGATTTTTAATAAATATTATAAGGCTTTTATTTTAATTTTTTATTAAAAAAAACCGTTTAAGATCAAATATTTTGAAGTCTATATAGGATCAAGATCGAGTAGTAATTTTTTAATCCATATTACAACAGAACTATTTTAATCCACGCCTAAAAAACTTGAGGTCCGGCAGGATCGGCCTGTTTAGGATAAGATTGACATTTTTGAAAGCTATATATTAAACAACTTGAAAAAAAATATTATAAAAAAGAAAATGCTAAGAAATAAAATTAAGTTGATAAAGAATATTACATCAAAACTTAAACGTTTAGAGATAGGGTGGTTAAAAGTTATAACAACTAACTTTTCATAATAATAGGGTGATTATAAGTTAACAACTAATTTTATATAAATAGGGTGGTTATAAGTTATAACAACGACATATTTATCATCCCATGATAATTATCTCATTATCGAGATTGTGACAATTTCAGAAAAAGCACGTGCAAACCACTAATTTAGAGATGACAAGGCGGAAAAAGTACTAGGTTAAAATAACACCCATCTAATAAAATTTCATAAGAGCATCTCCAACCGTGAACTCATTTTTGAGTTCTTTGTGGGACCTATTAAGCCACGTCAGCTTGAAGCAACTCAACTAATTTTTCACTCCAATGGTGCAATTCTGATGAACTCATATTGGGTCCCACAAGTTTACTTTATATGTTAATATTTTATTCATATTAAATTTTATATCACTTAAAATAATAATTTTAATTTTTTACAGAAAATTATTCCAATCTACTATATAGTCCAACCGGTATATAGTGTTGTTTTAAGGAAAAATATTTCATTCTACTATATAAACTTAAAAAAATATTTGAATCTCTCCTTAGTTAATTTTAGTGTTTTAAATTAAATTTGATATAAAATAAAAAAAATTAAAATTAAAATTAAAATTTAAAATAAATAAAAATAAAATAAATAAAATTCAAATTAAACTTATAATTTAAACTTATAATTAAAATATAGTTCTTATATTATAAAATCAATATTTTAATATTGTAATTATAATTTTCATGTGATAATTATAATGATAAATAAAATTTTATATTAAATTATAATTTTTATATTATAAAATTAATATTTTAATATAAGAACAGTTGAAGAACTGTTGCTTAATTAAACACCGTTCAATAACATGGCAATCTTGGAAATAGCACATATGAGTGCCATGTTGGCAAACTCACTCTAAGAACTTCCATTGGAGTTGGTCTAAGGTAGATACATTAGAATATGCAATGATCATCACATGTAGAAAATACTTGTGACCTAACATTGATGGAATAGAGTAGGGACATCACATTTATGATAATATACTTGTGACCTAACAAAGTACGAACAATTTCACAATATATAGTCTTCAACCTTCAGCCAAACCAAAACCATCATTTGTAAACATGTCTTCAATAATAATAATACTAGCAATATTTTCTTTGCTTCTCATTTTATTCAAAATCTCTTTTCAACCTTCAGCCAAACCAAAACCATCATTTGTAAACATGTGTTCAACAATAATAATACTAGCAATATTTTCTTTGCTTCTCATGTTATTCAAAATCTCTTTTCGGCCAAAACAAAAGACCAATTTCCACAAAAAGCCACCAGGTCCAGCAACACTACCTATAATCGGAAACCTTCACATACTAGGCACACTTCCACATCGAGCACTTCATTCACTCTCCAAAAAATATGGTCCAATCATGTCCGTGCAACTTGGTCAAGTCCCAGCTGTTGTTATTTCATCTTCAAAAGCAGCAGAGTTAGTTCTCAAAACACACGACCTTGTTTTCGCAAGCCGGCCAAGGATTCAAGGAGCTGAGCTCGTGATATATGGTTCCAAAGGGTTGCTTTTTTCTGAGTATGGTCCTTATTGGCGTAATGTTAGGAAACTTTGCACTTTGAAACTTCTTAGTGCTTCCAAAGTTGAGATGTTTGCTCCGATTAGGAAAGATAAGTTGTGTGTTTTGGTTAAATCACTGAAGAAAGCTGCTTTGGTGGGTGAGGTTGTGAATGTTAGTGAAGCTGTACAAAATCTTGTTGAAGATATTGTATGTAAGATGATAGTAGGTAGGAGTAAGTATGAGCAATATGACATGAAGAAGTTGGCTAAAGAAGGAATGGCTTTGATTGGAGCATTTAATCTGGCTGATTATATTCCTTGGTTAGGAGTATTTGATCTTCAGGTATGTACTATCTTCATTATAAACAAAAATAATTAATAAATATATCTTAATTACAAACAAAAATTATTAATAAATATATCTTAATTATAAACAAAAATTATTAATAAATATATCTTAATTATAAACAAAAATAATTAATAAATATATCTTAATTATAAACAAAAATAATTAATTATAACGTTAATTATAAACAAACATAATTAATTCATAACGATTTAAGTGAATTCAATAAATCTTTTCACCTCCTAAAAGAATATTATTGCTTTCTCCTAAGTGTCCTTTATAAAAAGTTTAAAATTGATTTTAAGGATAATTTAAAAATTAGATTTAAATAGGTTGGGTGAGGTAACTCAAATGTGATAGTTGAATTAAAGGAAAGTAAAGATTTAATTTAGAGTTTACTTTTAAACATTAATTTATATTTATATATTAATATAAATAAATTGTTATAATTTATAAATTAACACCTTAAAAAAAATTAAAATATCATATTGTTCTTACTAAAATACAATACATGACAATCCTTTGAGTTGTAGAACCATCAGAGGTTTTAGGGATCGATGTTTGTGGTATTAGAGCAAACTCACAAGAACATGAGAAGTTATGTATGTGGTGTTTTTTTTTCTAAAATGGTGTGTATGGAGCTCTACTCTAAAGTTGAGGTATTTATAAGAAACTCATGGGTCTGAATCCTTAACTCCAAGAGAATGCGGGATATGGGCCTTCAATTCCCTACTATTTAGAAGAACGTGATCTTTCCTATTGACTTCCTCTTCGTACCATTGTGGAATGAGACACGTCACCTCCATGCTTTTGCAAGAATGCGAGTGATTTGAGAAATGGGCGCTATAACTAAAGTACGGTGTTCGTTCCAATAAATGCCTGAAAAGGAAGTTGACGTGGACGATATATTACATTGCCCCTTTAATAAACAATTTATGCTACCTCGGGTTCCTTAAAAACATACTAATACACAATCTTAGGCATGAGGGTTTGGATTGGGCAAAGTGATTTAGTTTTTCTTTTCTTTTCCTTATTTAAACGAATCCCTCATGTATGCTTAGTTCTAGGATTACGCAAAGTGTTTTAGTTTTTACCCACTCGTTATTTAAACAAATCCCTCATATATGTCCCTCTTTCTTACAAAAAGAACATTCATCATGATATTTCCTCTCTTATGATGTGAATGAGAGTGAGATTTGAGTCTTATTTCTTCTGCTGACAATTCATTAACTATTGAATTAACACTAGAAAGAAGAGTGTGATGCAAAATAGTCCCATGAAGCCTTTTAAAATCATCTCGAAGAGGCATAAAAAATTAAACTAACCATTGCTCTTCTCTATTATCAATGTACTCTTTGAAAACTTACAATTCATCTGATTCATTGAATGTCAATTGATCCCAAAAATTTGACATGACCGAATAAAATTCTTGAATATTCATATTGTTCTGCGTTAGGGCCCGAATATCAATATCTAGTTAAAATTGTTTAATAACATTAGATGTAACATACAAAAGTTTCAAATGATCCAAAACTTCCTAACCAGTATCACATTTTGTATGTTGCATGCCTATTGTCTAAGAAATTGAATTATTAATCAAAGTAAAAATCTTTGAATTATACCAATTAGTAATAACAATTACAAACAAAAGTGGAAGCAGAAATATACATGGCGTAATCGAATCTGAATTAACCATGCTTTCTGATACATGTAAACATTAGAAATATTGAAAAGAGAAAACAACTAGGGTTTCCATTAGAAGGACAAAAGTTTTGTAATACTAGGTTTACCAAGCTAATATATAATAAATAAAATATCGTGATTGTGAAAATTTTGTGACCAATTGTTTAATTGCATGATATATATTTTGTTCTTTGATATTTGAACCCATGAGAGATACAAAGTATTAGAATGTGTCAATTTTATCATCAATTTCCATGTGCTTTTATGTTTCGTTTTGTTCAATAAAAATATTTATTTATTAATCGATGTTATATTGGAGTATTAATAAACTCATTTGTCAGGGATTAACACGGAGTTTCAAGAAAATCAGTAAATCAATTGATGAAATACTTGAGATGATAATAGAAGAGCATGAACAAATTAATAATGTTGATAAAACTCGTGGTGAAGACTTTGTAGACATACTTCTTTCTATTACCCACCAAACTATTGATCACGAGAGTGAACAAAATCATGAATTTGATCGAACTAACATCAAAGCTATTTTAGTCGAAATGATAGCGGCATCAATTGATACATCTGCAACATCAATTGAGTGGACTTTATCAGAACTATTAAGGCATCCAAGAGTGATGCAAATTCTTCAAAATGAAATACAAGACAAAGTAGGAAATACAAAAATGGTTGAAGAGAAAGATTTAAAGATGTTGAACTATCTTGATATTGTGGTTGATGAAATCTTAAGACTTCATCCTGTTGTACCATTATTAGCCCATCGCGAATCTAGAGAGAACATCTCAATTGATGGTTATTTTATAGAGAAAAAGACACGGGTCATGGTTAATGCATGGGCAATAGGGAGAGATCCTAATATTTGGTCAGAAAATGCTGAAGAATTTTATCCTGAGAGATTTATTGATAAAAAAATGAATTATCAAGGGAATGAATTTGAATCTATACCATTTGGTTCTGGTCGGAGGCGTTGTCCTGGAATTCATTTGGGTTTAACTACTATTAAGTTGGTTGTAGCTCAATTGGTGCATTGTTTTAATTGGAAACTTCCATATAATATTAGTCCTTCAAATTTGAACATGGAGGAAAAATTTGGACTCACAGCACCAAGAGCTCAAAGCTTGCACGCTATACCGCATTATCGTTTGGTTGATGCAGAATATGAATAAATTTGGGCTTAAATAGTATTTTGGTTATTGTAAGTTGATGTGTTTTTTGTTTTCGTCTCTGTATATTTTTTTATCTCGAATTAATCCTTGAATGTTAAAATCCTCTTGGATTTAATCCCTAAAATTAAAATCTGCAGGAAGATCTGTAGGAACATGCAGATTTTATCTTTAGAGACTAAAATCAAATGAATTTCAACATTTAAAGACTTTATCCATAAAAAAAATACAGAGACAAAAAAACAAAAGCACGTCAATTTACACACACCAAAATACTATTTAACCCATAAGTTTAAGATATTCAACAAGTTTATTATTAATAAATATGCTAAGTATAGTACGTCCATTATTTATGTTATCTTTATAAATACGTCCATTATTTATGTTATCTTTATAAATATAACTGGGGAGAAAATGTTTTTTAATATATAACATGTTTTTATACTATTTGTCTTTTAGATTTTTGGTTTTCTAGCACTTGATAGGGCTGGTCATTGAATTTATTTTTCATCTGTTGTGCGCTTTTGATAGGACTGGTTATTGAATTTATTTTTCATCTGTTGTACACTATTTCATATTTTAAATATTATAATTTAATTTTTCTTTTAACTTTTTTAAATTTAATTTCCTAATTTTTTAATTTAAAATAATAATTAATATAAAAAAAAAAGGCAAGCAACAGAGGCGCCATATAATATGGCGCCTTTTCTGAAAATATGATTTTTTTTAGGGCAGAGCTATAATGGTGGCGCCATATTATATGGCGCATGAGATCATTTTCCATTGCTATAAGCGTATCATTTGACGCATGCATGTTGAATGTATGTCATATTTGTATTTTTTTAAATTCAAGTTAATAATGCACTTTTTTTTTTAAAATATAGGTGAGTTAAAAAAATAATTATGCAAAGATTCATTCATAACAATGTTATATCACCTAAGACAAAAAATATAATATTTAAGAGGATTAGTTTTACCATTAAAAAAAGAATAGTAAAATAGTTTGTTGTTCGCTTGTGTGTTATTGCTCTATAATCTTGATTTTAAATCATATTGTTGTTCAAAACGTTTGATTATATACTGATTTATGATTTAGTAATCTATAACAATATATAAAGGCAATAAGCATTTTTGGTGTAGCTTTTTTATTTCCAATTTTGTCCCTAATAAATTGATTTTATTACATTCTTTTATTAGTTAGTTACTATTCTTCATCTTTCATAACTTCTATGCGGTTTCTAAACTAATCCATCTTCTCTCTCCATTTTATATTCTTCCCATTAGATATATTGAGAGAGAAAAAAATGTTGGAGAAACAAATTAAAGATATGGAAGAAAGAAAACAAAGATGAAAATGAAAGAGAAAGATAATAATGGTAATGCGTGAATTAAAAATATAAGCAAAAGCAATATTATATCATATAAAATAATAAGCATACCTTTATATTATTCATATATAAATATTTTTTTAATTATAAACAATATATATTTTTTAATTTTAATTTTAATATTATATGATGTAATATTGCTTTATATAATAATATATTTATATATTCATATATTTATTAGTCTATAAATGTATTAATATATGTATATATAAATATATTATTTATATGATACACTATTAGATGTATTATATCTTATATAAGTATATTAGGTATTTAATATAATAATCTTTAATATGATTAAACTTCTATAATTATTTGTAAATGTGATTGTTTCAAATTTATTATATAATTTTGATGATCTGTTCGGACCTATTAACGTTAAATAATTTTGGTGTAGTTTTTTTACTTTCAATTTTCTTTCTAATAAATTGATTCTTTTACACTATTTTTTTACGGATAGATTAGTAAGTTATTATTCCTCATCTTTAGTAACAAATAATTTATTAATTAAATAAGAAATGATAATAAAAAAGTAGTAGTAACTTCTAAAAATAATTAACTGTTTTATAACTCATTAATCCCACTACTGAATGAAATAGAAGCATATAACAACTTCCTTACTTAATTAAATTAATTAAATAAATAATAATAATAATAAAAAAGTAGTAGTAACTTCTAAAAATGATTATCTGCTTTATAACCCACCAATCCCATTATTGAATGATGAAATAGAAGCATCTAACAACTTCTGTATTCAACTAATATTATTATATTTAATTATATATTTGATTGATTTAATTTTGAAGATTTATAATGTATTTTATTTATGACTAAATTTATCCAAAATATTTTCTTAATAAAACTGAACGATAATGATTATAAAGTCCGTATACTCTAAGTTTTGATAAATTATATACTTAAAAAAGTGAATTATAATTGCCTAAAAAAATTCATTGGAGTTCTTAAAACGCAGTTTTTAAAAATATGATTAACCAATATTTTATTTTATTTTAAAAACAATTTTTTAAAATATTGAAAAATCTGAGTCAAATCTAAACCGTCTATTACTTTAAATCCAACGATAGAGGATAAGCAGTTTCCTCATTTCCCGCTCATAATGATATATAAATATCCCTTTCATCTTCTACTTTTTCACATTCAAAATGCAAAAGAATAAAAAGTTTCTCAAAATTTCTTACAAAAATGACAAGTTGTGGAAAGGGTATTAAGGGGCTCGGAAAGGGAAGAACAAAGAGGCACATGATAATTATGCGCGAAAATATTTGGGGAATTACAAAGCCATTGATTCGTAGATTGGTTAGGAGAGGAGGTGTCAAGAGGATAAGTGGTTTGATCTATGAAGAAACTATGTTATTTCTTAAGGTTTTCTTGACAAAAATTATTCATGATACTGCTTCATATACTAATTATGCAATAAGAAAGGTTGTGACTGTCATGGATGTTGTGTATACTCTTAAGAGATAAGGAGGAACTTTATATGATTTCGGAGGTTGAAGAAGATACTTTTGTTTATTATCATGTTATATTTTTATCGTCTAAGTTGTGTAATTTGTATTTATGTTTCTGCATTTTAAAAAAGTTTATATCTAAATAATAGTAGGTGATTATACAATGATCACCGTCTAAGCTATGTAATTTGTATTTGTATTTTCAAAAATGTTTATTTTCAAGTATTAGTTGGTGATTATACAATGATAATGACTAAATACTACAATATGTTTTTTCTATTGTATGGTTTATGGACAAAATTACACTATATATGCATTATATTAAATTTATGATGATTTTAGTTAAGTTAAATCTAATTTTTATAATTATAAATAACCTGAATATGAGTCGTTGGTTATTTTTGTTCTTTAACCATCATTAACTTCCATTAAAAAAAACTTATTGAAAATTTAACACATATAACTCTTCTTTGCATGGTGATTTTTTTCTTGCAATTTTTAAAGAATTTTGAAGAGTGTTTGCTGGTGATCATACATAGAAAATAGATTAATTAATTTTTTTCATTATAGTTTGTTAAAAATGAATTTACACATATGTATGTATTTTAATTGATGACTGGTTTTGTTAAGTTACATTTATAATTATTTTGGTGTATTATCCACAAGGTTTTGTCTTATTTAGAAGTCATGCGTAGAAAATATTGTTGTTAGATTTCAAATTATTTTCCTTTCCAAGATGATTGTTCACCATTGACATATGGATTGTTATTCAACTGTTTTTGAATTAATTTATTGATGGAGGTATTATTATTATTAGAATTTAATTGGTATGCACTAAACAATGCAAACTTTAAAAACCGCTCTATTATGCATGTTGTGCCACATATTGATTTTTTTAGGGATAATAAAGAGGATGACATATTACACTATATTATAACAATGTTATTTCTAACAATGTTATTTCTAACACTAAAAAATTGTTATTAAAACTATAAATTAAATTTCCCAAATGAATATGCGACAATTTTTAAATATCTTCTATACTAGTGTAACTTATTGATACATTGCATATCTTCTATATATAGGAGTTGCCTTTTCAAAACGAACAAGAACACGAGACAATGCTTTTAAACATTGCATAGCTGCAGACAATTTGCAGTTGTTGTCTAAAAGTGGTATAATAAGAAAGTTCAGAGAATTTATAGAAAATAATTTATAAAAAAATTTTCCCTCCATCTTAATATATAAGTAAAAAAGACTCATACGTCTTACCCTATTTCACTTGTTGTTGTTCCCTATTGGAAAACATCAATTTTTGAGATGGACTGCAAAATTTTTAGATTTTTTAATTAGTTATAAAAAATTTTAAAATTGTGCATTGCTTTTGTTGTTGTTATATTTATTCATTGACAAAAATTAGTTTTATCAATCTTAAACAAAATATTTTTTCTCTTGCATTGTATCTCACAAAATGACGATGTTGATTCCATCACTTACATTCCATTTTTATATTTGAGAATAATTTTTCATAATTGTTACCTGGGAAAAAATACAATGATTTAATTCTTTCCTTAGTTGACAACATTGAGAAATTTATTCTTAATCATATCAAAAAGATATTCAAATGCAAAACAAAAATGGTTGAAGGTAAGGAGTTGTAAGTGTTATTCCTTACAATTCACCATTTCTTTTTTAGCTTGCAATATAAGTAATCTATTTTCTCAAGTGGACAGAAAATCAAGGTGAAAAGTCTTTATTTTATTATTTTTTGAAAAATATATTCACTATGCCAAAAAAGACTTTTAGCAGCGCTTTTTTTGGCCTTTAGCAGCGCTGCCAAAAGTGGCGCTGCTAAAGGTAAATGAAACGTTTTTTTATGGAAAAAGCGCTGCTAAAGTCTCCCTTCAGCAACGGTTTTAGCAGCGCTTTCTTAGCACTTTAGTACCGCTTTTATAAGCGCTGCCTATTTCCCCCAACCCTCCCCCCTTTAGCAGCGCTTTTACAACCTGAAAAAACAAGTTTAAGTCATATCAGAACTCTTGTGGAAGAAGTATATATACTATACATTATTCATGATAAGTTGTACTTACTAAAAATTCTTTGGTTCTTCACTTCGCAACAAATGTCTCCCATTCTTCTTCCGAAA